CTTTGAACATTACCATCCTTTATTTCCATGATAAAATGGAGATATAAGAATGTGCTAATTCTGACTGGATTGTCAGAATTAAAACACTAGAACAGATATCTACAAAACCCTATAATCTTCCTTTGCTGCAGTTAGGCACCAGTAACTTTGAACACAGGCTCCACTACAACTTGCTATGTGGCTTTGGGCAAGTCACTTAACCTCTCTGAGACTCAGTTTCCTCATCTGTAAATTGAATAATAATATATATTTATTATTAGGAGAATAATAAGAATACCCTTAATTCGTAGGACTATAGGTAAAAACCAAATAAGGTAAAGAATAGGGGCGCCTGGGTGGCTCAGTTGGTTAAGTGTCTGCCTTCGGTTCAGGTCATGATCCCAGGGTCCTGGGATCAAGCCCCATGTCGGGCTCCTTACTCAGTAGAGAGCCTGTTTCTCTCTCTCCCTCTGCCGCTCCTCGCTTGTGCTCGCTCTCTCTGTCAAATAAGTTAAGTAAAATCTTAAAAAAAAAAAAAAAGGTAAAGAATAGAAAACACAAGACATTGCCTCACAGTAATGAGTATCCTATAAATATGAGCAATTATTATTACACTCAGTCTTTTTTTTTGTTTGCTTGTCAGAAAGAGAAAGAGGAAATACAAGTGGGGGAGAGGCAGGCAGAGAGAGGAGCAGGCTCCCTGCTGAGCAAGGAGCCTAATGCGGGACTCAGTCCCAGGACCCTGGGATCATGACCTGAGCTGAAGGCAGACGCTTAACCGACTGAGCCACCCAGGAGTCCCTACACTCAGTCTTTTAAATGGGATAGAAGTCACTGTTTATAATTTTACCTGTTTATAGGCTGATGATAGACTTCCTGGCACTTTACTCTATCATTAAGAAAACACAGTTGGGAACATATCGGGAGAACTCTAATCTCCCTATCCTTTTACCATATGCTATTAATAATATACATTCCACAGGCTTTACATAGCATATCTATGGTAAAATGTAGAATTATACAGTGAATGAGAGTTTTGGAATCAATGGATTTTAATTCCAACATCACCTGTCACTAGCTGTGTGAACTTAAGAAAGGTATTTAATGTCTCTGACCCTGACCTAGAGTTTCCTCAACTGTAAAATGTCAATAATAATAGTACTTACCTCACAGAATTATTGTGGTGATTAAATAACATCATATCTATATATAGTGATAAGTATGGTAACTGAAACATTAAAGCTATTAGGATTATTACTTCTCTTTTTAGAAAACTGCAAATGCCCTGAACCCCTCTAAAACCCTATAGTGTTCTCATTTTAAAAATCGACGACCTTAAAAAAAGATATGCAGAAATACATGCTACAGGTAGCAGGCAATTTGAGTATAATAAAAATTCCAAAGCACCATAAGAAATGTGTCTTTTGGGTGCCTGGGTGGCTCAGTTGGTTAAGCGACTGCCTTCGGCTCAGGTCATGATCCTGGAGTCCTGGGATCGAGTCCCACATCGGGCTCCCTGCTCGGTAGGGAGTCTGCTTCTCCCTCTGACCCTCTTCCCTCTCGTGCTCTCTATCTCTCATTCTCTCTCAAATAAATAAATAAAATCTTTAAAGAAAAAAAAAAAGAAATGTGTCTTTTCACAGAAGAGAAGACCTCTTAAAGGCAACTCTTGTAAATGTACACAGCTACCTAGTTATTTGGAGTCACTCAAGAGACTGTGGAAATAGACTTTGCTCACAATGTCTCATGACTTTAAGTGGCATTATCCCAACAGACTCTCATGTCTAAAAATCAATATGCAAGCTGTGTTGCAGTGCAGATAGTTTTAACAATCACTGCCAACAATATAGTGTTTTTTTCTATAGTGTTTCACATGAGAGTATCAGTTTTCCCAAATGAATGCTAAGCTAGAAGCTACAGAAGTCTTTATTCTTTAGCAATGATGCCCATGACATTAGACTGATAACCATGGAGATGATTCATTCATTCAATAAATATTCATTCAATGCTTACTGCACCCCAGACATTCTACCATTCTCAAAGAATAGAAGAATATTTAACACAGTGCATGGGCAATGTCTTCCCTCAGAGATCTTAGAGTCTAGAGGAGGGGATAAACTAATAATTACAATGCCATAATGGAAAAACAGGATGCTATGGAAACACATAGTAGTACATCTAACCAAGGGGGCAGAGGTAGGAAAAGGGAAAGGGAGCCAGTGAAAAATTTCCTGGAGAAAGTAACATTTAAAAGAGGCTTAAATGCAGGCAAGACAGACTGAAGCATATTTAAGAAACTAAAAGAAGTTCTTTATAGCTGAAGCATTCAGATTGACGTGGGTCATAGGAGGCCTTTGTAAGTCATGCTGAGTCAGGATGTGACGTAGGAATTTGCACATATAATAAAAATCAAACGCTTTAAAACAATCAATTGTTTTGATTGTTCTATATTATCAGCAAAAAGTAGAACATAAAATTTAACCGTATTTATAATAGTATAATAAAATATCAAAAAAGAAATAAGTTCAATGAATCATAGGAAACATCCATGTACTAACAATCAGTTTATTTCAATCATGTTTTGTAAAGAAGATTTTTTTTTTTTAAGATTTTATTTATTTGACAGAGAGAGACACAGAGAGAGAGGGAACACAAGCAGGGGGAGTGAGAGAGGGAGAAGCAGGCTTCCTGCTGAGCAGGGAGCCCGATGTGGGGCTCAAACCCAGGATGCCGGGATCATGACCTGAGCCGAAGGCAGACGCCCAACGACTGAGCCACCCAGGCGCCCCTGTAAAGAAGATTTAATCAACAAAGGCATATACCATTTTCTTGGGTTGGAAGACTCAATACTGTAAAGATGTCCATTATCCCCAATTGTATTGATAAATATATTAAATGTAGTCCCAATCAAAATACTAGCCAGATTTTCTTTTCTGTGTAGAACCATATGAAAATGCAAAAAGGATAAGAATAAGACAGTTATTAATCATGCTAATGGCCACAGATTCTATTTATATGAAATGTCTAGAACAGGCACAACCATAAAAATAAAAAAGTAGATTTCCATCCTAAGATGAAGAAAGGTGATCTTGAAAAAGAATAACTAAGCCGAAGAACTTTAACAGATATGAAGACCAATTATAACACAAAAGAAATCAAAACAGTAAGATAATGGCAAAGGAACAGGCAAATAGATCCACGGAACAGAGGGTCCTGTAACAGACATGTAAGTACATGGCCACCAGTTTATGACAAAAGTGAACCTGCAGTGCAAGGGAGAAAGGTTTTTAATAAATGGTACTGGGTCAATTGACTATTTGTATGAAAAAAATGAATCTTATCTGACATCATATACAAAAAATCCAAACCTGGTGAATTATAAATGTAAAAAGTAAACAGTAAAGTACTTAAAAAATACAGAATAACACTTTTATGGCATTAAAATCAGCAAATATTCCCTAAACTGGACATAAAAAAATCTTAACTATAAAAGGAAAGATTGATAAAATGGAATTTTTGTTCATGTAACAGTATCATTAAAGAATGAACTAGCAAGGGGGCCTGGGTGGCTCAGTCAGTTAAGCGTCTGCCTTTGGCTCAGGTCATGATCCCAGGGTCCTGGGATCGAGTCCCACACTGGGCTCCCAGCTCAGCAGGGAACCTGCTTCTCCCTCTGCCTCTCCCCCTGCTTGTGTTCTGTCTCTCTCTCTCAAATGAATAAATAAAAATCTTAGGGCAAAAAAAAAGAAGAATGAACTAGCAAGCCACAGAATGGGAGAATACATTTTTAAATGTATATTCAAACAAAGAACCCTTATCTATAATATATAAAGAACCGTCCCCCCCAATAAAAAAAGCCGGTGGGGGGAGCGGGTGGGGGCAGGTGGGAAGGTCATGGCAGGAAGACTTCAGCAGGTACTTCACAAAGGAGTGTATCCCAGTCAGCAAGAAACATGAAATAGTGTTCAACTTCATTAGTTTTCAGGGATATCAAAATTAAAACTGCGAGGAGATACTACAACATACCCACTAGAAAGACTAAAATACAAAAGACAGAAAGTTCCAAGTGCCAACAAAGATACAGGATAAGAGATCTGATACACTGCTGGCTGGAGAGGAGGTAAACTGGGCACAAGTGCTTTGGAAAACTTTTCGACACAATCTACTCAAGCTGAAGATATGCTTCTCTTGTGACTATGTAATTCTGCTCCTAAGTTTATATCCAACAGAAATGCATAAAAAAAAATCTTCATTAAGGGCACCTGGGTGGCTCAGATGGTTAAGCGTCTGCCTTCGGCTCAGGTCATGATCCCAGAGTCCTGGGATTGAGTCCCGCATCAGGCTCCCTGCTCCTTGGGAGCCTGCTTCTCCCTCTGCCTCTCTCTCTCATGAATAAATAAATAAAATTAAAAAAAAAAATCTTCATTAAGAAGCATGCATGAAAAAGTTCATGGAAGCATTATCTAATAGTTCTGAACTAGAAATTAGCAAAAGCCAGAATCAATAAATTCATATTTATATTTGCACAATGGGATACTATTGGCAGTAAAAATGAACTAAGACTACAGTACGTGCAGGTTAGGATGAAACTTACGAACAAAATATTGACCAGAAGCCAGCACATAAAATGCACATATTATATGATCTAACTTGCATAAAGTTTAAGATGAAGCAAAACCAATTTTGATGTAATAAGTCAAAGTAGTGGTTAGTCTGGCTGGAGATGTCCTAAACAGAGGGAACATGAGGAAGCTTCTGAGATTCTGGGGTTCTTTTAATGCTCTGTTTCCCAGTGGAGATGCTGCCTGTGTAAGTGTGCTCATTTTGAAATTTTGAAATGTGTGTGTGTGTGTGTGTGTCTTTCTACACGTTTCTGTATGTATCACCTTCAAAATACTTCTCAATAATTTTTAAAGTCGTATCAGCATATCTGCACAAAGATGACTATTTGAACCTATGGAAAAAGAAAAAGGAAAACTGAATGTAGAGGTTAGTCTGTTTGTATGGTTATTTTTACTCACCTTTGTCCTGTAACGCAATTTGGTGCTTATGCAGTAACGCCACCTCCCGTCCCAAAGCTTTCTTCTGTCTTTCCAGTTCATTTCGAAGCACCAAAATTTTTAATTGCAAGCACTCACTTTGTTTTCTCTAAATAATTAAAAAGCACAGGTAAAATTTATGACTATGAAAGTCATGACTATGAATAATTATACATTCACAGTGTCTCCAAATGAATAATGGTGTAAAGCACTTTAATATTCATCTAATTCATAGATCTCTTGAGTAACTTAATTATCAGCACCTGCTATTTTAATGAAAAGAATACAGATGTAAACAAAGAATAAACCTGAAGTCTGGGGACAGTTCTTTCTAAGAACCCAAAAAACACTATAAAATATCTCAGGCCTCTTTACTGAGATCACAATACAATTAAGACAAAAATTAATTTTTAGAAATGGAGTTCTCAAAAACTTAAACATAGAGATACCACAGGACTCAGCAATTCTACTGCTAGGTACACATCCAAGAGAACTGAAAACATGTTCATACAAAAACTTGCATATGAATTTTCATAACAGCATTATTTATAATAGCCAAATGGTGGAATCAATCCAAATGTCCATCATCTGATGAACAGAAACAAAATGTGGTACATCCGTGCAATGGAATATTATCTAGCAATAAAAGAAATGAAGTACTGATGAATGCTACAACATGGATGAACCTTGAAAACACTATACTGGGGTGCCTGGGTGACTCAGTCAGTTAAGTGTCTGCCTTTGGCTCAGGTCATGATCTCAGGGTCCTAGGATCCAGCCCCATGTCGAGTCCCTGGTCAGCAGGGACTCTGCTTCTCCCTCTCCCTTGGCTGCTCCCCCTGCTTGTGCTCCCTCTCTCTTACTCTCACTCTCTCAAATAAATAAATCTTTTAAAAAATTAAAGAAAACACTATACTAAGTGAAAGAAGCCAGTTTTAAAAGGCCACAAACTCCATTTATATAGAAATGTCCATATTAGGCAAATCCATAGAAACAAAAAGTAGATTTCCATCCCTGCCAAATTGAACCAACGTGCTCTAATATCCCACAGATTTCAGAGAAAGTCAAGCAGGGACCTGGGGCTTTCACCCCTTCCAGGTGGTAACCAACCATATTATCAGTGGACACCACAAGGGAAGCCTGGATTTACAGGAATAATGAGATAATCCTCTCCCTGCGGGCTGGGTGATATCAGAGGAGGCTTAGTGGAGAGTGAGAACTTTCCTTACTACACAGTGTTAATGAGGCCAGCCTATTCAGCATGCTATCAGTGGAGGCCATGTGGGGAACAGTATCAAAGTATTCCTATACCTCTTAGCCGGGTCAGTAGTAGTAGAGGCCTAGTGGAGAGCTGGAACTCCCAGGCCTGGTCAAAAGTAAGGATGACCTCCTCCCCCACACTCCTGCCACTTGGGTGTCAATGGAAGCTGCTTGAGGAACCTGGACTTTTATACCCACCTGGCAGTAATGAGATAGCATCTCTCCTTTCCCTATCAGAGAAAGAGGTGTCAGAAAAAGCCAGATCAAACAGGCTTAAATAAGATCTAGAGACTCATAACATTAATACCCAAAATGTTTAAATTTCAATCAAAAATCACTCATCATATCAAGAACCAGAAAGATGTCAAAGTAAATGAAAAAGGATAATTATGAGATACCAATACTGAGGGGCACCTGGGTGGCTCAGCTGGTTAAGCATCTGCCTTCAGCTCAGGTCATGATCCCAGGGTCCTGGGATCGAGCCCCACAGCGGGCTCCCTGCTGAGCGGGGAGTCTGCTTCTCCCTCTCCCTCTGCCCCTGCTTGTGCTCTCTTTCTCTCTCTCTCTCTCAATAAATAAATAAATAAATAAATAAATAAATAAATAAATAAATAAAATCTTTTTTAAAAAGAGAGAGAGAGATACCAATACTGAGATGACAGACATGTTACAATTATCTGACAAAGACCTGGAAGCAGCTTTCATAAAAGTACTTCAATAACAATTAAGAACATCCTTGAAACAAATGAAAAAATAGAACATCTTGGTAAAGAAATAGAAAGTCTCAGTCAAGAAATTGAAGATATAAAGGACAATCAAATGGAAATTTTATTTCATTTAGCATAATCCCCTCCAGTTCCAAAAAAAATAAAAAGGCAATTTTAGAGCTGAAAATATCTAGAATAAAAAACTTAGTGAATGAGCTCAACAGCAGAATGTAGGAGACAGAGAAAAGAATCTTTAAGCTGGAAAATAGAACAACAGAAACTACCCAATCTAAACAAGAGAGAGAAAATAGACTGTAAAAAAACAAACAGAGCCTCAGGATCTGTGGAACTATATAAAAAGATCTAATATTTGTATCCTCCAGTACAGGGAGGAAAGAAGAAATAAAGCAGAAGTGAAAAAGTACTCACAGAAATAATGATGAAAAACTTCCTAAATTAAGCAAAGAAATACATCTACAAATTCAAGAAGTTAATGAACCCCAAAGAGAATAAATTAAATGGAGAAAATCACAAAATAAATAAAACCAAAAGCTGGGTTTTTGAAAAGGCCAATAACTTTGATAAAATTCTAGCCAGGCTAACCAAGAAAAAGAAAAAAGACAGAAATTACTAGTATGAGGAATGAAAGAGGAGCCATCACAACCGATGCCACGGACATTAAAAGAATAAGAAAAGAATACTATAAACAACTCAATGGCCACAAATTTGGTAACTTAGATGAAATGGACCAATTCCTTGAAAGACAATCTACTAAAACTCACGCTAGGAGAAATAATCTGAAAGGGCATATATATGAAATAATTAAATTAATAACTAATAGCCTTTTAAAATGGAAAGTACCAGGCCCTGATGGTTTCACTGGTGAATTTTACCAAGCATATAAATAAATAACACTAATTCTTTAAACTCTCTTCGATCTAGGAGGCCAGCTTCACCCTAATACCAAAATCAAACAAAAACATTACTAGAAAGGAAAATTACAGACCAATCTCTCATAAACACAGATGCAAATTCATCAACAAAATCAACAAATCAAATCCAACAATGTATAAGAAGAATTATATGCCATAGCCAAATGGAATTTATCCCATGTATGTAAGGCAGGTTTAACATCCAGTAATCAATGAAATTCACCATATCAATCAGGCAAAAAAGAAAAGTCATATAATCATATCAATACATGCCAAAAAAGCATATGACAAAATTTCAATACCCAATTATGATAAAAACTCTCAGCAAACTAAGAATAAAGGAAAACTTCTTCAACTTGTAAAGAATATTTGCCAGAAAACCTAGAGCCAACATCATACAGATCTTCCTCAACTTATGATGGGGTCATGTCCCAATAAACCCATTATAAGTTAAAAATATTGTAAGTTGAAATACATCTAATACACCTAACCTACTGAACACCACAGCTTAGTCTAGCCTACCTTACGTGTGCTCAGAACACTTACATTAATCTCCAGTTGGGCAAAATCATCTAACACAAACCCATTTTATAATAAAGTGCTAAATATGTCATGTAATTTATTGAATACTGTACTGAAAGTGAAAAACGGGATGGTTGCTTGGGTACAAAATGGTTATAAGTGTATCAGTTGTTTCCCCTCATGATCACATGGCTGACTGACAACTGTGGTTTGTTACTGCCGCCAGGCATCATACCGTATATTGCTAGCTTGGGAAAAGATCAAAATTCAAAATTTGAAGTATAGTTTCTACTGAATGTGTATCACTTTCATACCATCATAAAGTCAAATCTTACATCGGGGATCGTCTATACTTAATGGTGAAAACCAGATGCTTTCTCCCTACACTGGAGAAAAAGGCAAGGATGTCTCCTTTCCCCACTCTATGAAACAGGTACTGAAAATCCTAACTATGCGATACAATAAGAAAAGGAAATAAAAACTATCAGACTGGGAAAAAAGAAATAAAATCATCTTTGTTTATAGATGATTTGATTATATATGTAGAAAATCTCAAAGAATCAACCCCCATCAAAAAACAAAGCAAAACCCAAAGCCTCCTGGAACTAGTAAGTGATTATAGCAATATACAAAAGCCCATTTCTTTCTTATGTAACAGCAAGGAACAATTAGAATACGAAATCTAAAACACAACATTACATTAAAATTAAAAAATGAAATACTTAGGTATAAACCTAACAAAATATGTACAAGACCTAAATGAAGAAAACTGAAAATCTGATGAAAGAAATCAAAGGATCTGATGAATGTCCATATTCATGGATAGGAAGATAATATTATTAAGATACCTATTTTTCCCAATTTGACCTACAGATCCAGTGAAATCCCAGCAAGTTATTTTGTTGATACTAACAAACTGATTCTAAAGTTTATATCAGAAGGCAAAAAACCCAGAATAGCTCAATACTGAAAAAGAACAAAGTTAAAAGACTGACACTATCTAATGCTAAAACTTACCATAAAGCTACAATAATCAAGACAGTTTGATATGGACACAAAATAGACAAATCAATGGAACAGAACAGATAGCCCAGAAACACATACACACACAAATATAGTCAACTGATCTTTGTCAAAGGAACAAAAGCAATTCTATGGAAAAAGGATAGCCTTTACACTAAATGGTGCCACAAGTACTGGACAGCTACATACAAACAAAACAAAATGAAACAGAACATTTAGATACAGACCTTACACCTTTCATAAAAATTAACTCAAAATGGATCACAGAACTAATGTGAAATAAAAAAATTATCATATACAGGGTCCCTGGGTGGCTCAGTACATTAAGAGTCTGACTCTCGATTTCAGCTCAGGTCATGATCTCAGGGTCATGGGATTGAGACTGCATCAGGCTTTACACTCAGCCTGGAATCTGCTTGTCCCTCTCCCTCTGCTCTTCCCCCCTCCCTCTCTCTCACTCTCTCAAATAAATAAAATCTTTTAAAAAAATTATATAAATTCTAGAAGATAACACTAGAAAATTTAGGTGACTAAAGTGGAGATGACTTTATATACAACATCAAATGCATGATCATGAAAGAAGAAACTAAGTTGGCCTTCATTAAAATTAAAACTTCTGCGCTGCAAAAACCACTATTAAAAGAATGAAAAGATATGCCACAAAC